TTATACACCAGGTTTTGTTGTTTAGCAGAATGTATCTAAACTTCTAGGTAATTCCTGTGTCAACCACCCTTTGCATCTAATCTGCAGTATTGTTTTCCAAACAGAGAACAGAGCAATATACTTTGTGAACTTATTTTTGTAATATATTTTTCATATGTATTTTAACACTCAAAGGCAGAAAGAGAGAGAGAGAGAGAGAGAGAGAGAGAGAGAGAGAGAGAGAGAGAGAGAGAGAGAGAGAGAGAGAGAGAGAGAGAGAGAGAGAGAGAGAGAGAGAGAGAAAGAAAGAGAGAGAGAGAGATATACCTCAGTATTTAAATCTTCATGTGGTTGTATCAGGACACATATAGTAGTAAACTCATGTGTAGTTTCTGGTAATAAAATGTTGTTTAATATCCTTTCTCTAATAACCTCACTCAAAACAAAAAACACTCCACTCCTTTATAATCCTGCATGAAAACGTGCCTGTGATTGGTACGTCTCATATGGTTTAAGAAGTGACATGATATGCTAATGGTAAGCAGGACCTTCCTTCTGGCCTTGTTCTCGAAGCTTTCTGTATGCTGGATGACTTTCTCCCATTAGGTAGAAGAATGGCTGGGAGGATATCTGGTTATTATTTAAAGAGTTCTGTCATTATTATACTATCAGTCAGCTCCTTTATCTGAATCTTGGTTTTCATTTTTCTATCCTTTTTAATAGGTTATTGAGAAAATATGATCAAATTTATACTAAAGCTCTCTTTGAAAGAGAGAAGTCTGTTTCATAAATGTTTTCTTAATAATCTCTGAAGTTTATTAGTGTACTTTGAGAAGAACATAATGCAAGAAAAATTACTTAAAAATACACTTCAGTTACTGAGAGTAAAACTGCTAAAATAATTACATAACAAGAAATTTGAAATCCATATTACATGGTTGGATATTTCAATACAAACTGTTTGACAATAAAAACTTAATATAGAAATAGGGAACCAATGCTTTGGTACTTTACTTACTATTCATACGCATCTCCATATCAACACTTACATGATAAAATAACAAAGTACTTTGGAACAAGATCATATATTTTTGATATGTACATCATACATTTATACATGTCAATAAATAAAGAATAATTACAGATTATGACATATAAACAGACAAAACATATTCACTCATGTGACTAGAACAAACTGCTTGTCATCACCCATGCATGATTCACATGACTGAGGTAGACTGAAAAATATCAAAAAAGGTCCAGAGCAATGTTAGAAACATTTTTTTTTTCTTTCTACATGCTCCAAGATATTCAAGACTTGGTAGATTGATCAACATTTATTTTTTGGTTTGCTTTTGAGACTGAAATATGTAACCTCTTTCCCTCCTAAACACATATTTAATAATAATAAGCTAAAAAATATCTAAAATAAGACAATGCATGTTGCAACTATACTCTTTTCATTCTATCCAAAAGACAAACAATGATCATGACAACCACCCTATATGAGATCAGAACTGGAATTCTCTTGAACTAATGTGTACAATTCAAATATCACACTCGTGAATTTTACAGATAAATAGACTACCAGAATATGACATATTCATTCCCTCCTCAGTTCAAAGACTCCCTTCTAATCCAGCAATCTATCCTTGCCCATAATTTTAGCACCTTAAGCCACCTCTGCCTAACTGCCGATCTTTATCCCCAAAGTGGCAAACCAGTCTTGTCTCTGTACTTTGGCAGAGCCATTGGACACTTCTGCGGAGAAGGTGTTTGCTTCTGCACCTCCTCCTGCTTGTAGTTGGAGAGAGGTACTGGTAGTGGTGGCCGCTGCGTCGGAGGAGATTTCTTCAGATATGTCCAAAGATGGGGCTGTCACATGGAGGTTATGCCTGTAATCAGAGGAACTCTCATTGACACTTTCATTAAGGAACTTGTCATAACACTGTTGATTAAGATTTTGTTGGTGTCCAACTGATGTATCAAATGAATTCCAATAAAATCTAGCAAATATTGATAGTAAAAACAAATCAAATATTGATAATGTGTAGATAGTAGGGCTAAATCAGTTTTTCATTGACTTACTGCATTATCAATACAAGTGAAAATGAATCCTAATATTAATTTAACACTATGTAGTACAAATAAAGAATCTGGCTCATGTTTCAGGAACAAATAAAATTGCCAATCCACATAATATTTTCAAAATCAGACTTTTCATTGAGCCATGTGAAAACATATGAAACATAATATAAAGAGTAAAAACCCTACTTCAATAAATGTATAGGCAAATGTAAGAATTACAAATAAGACTGTCCTACAAATAAAACAGCTAATATATTTGCTATTTTTAACTGGACATGTCTACACAATGGAAAAAAAAAGAGGGGGGGGGAAAGAAAGGGGGGAGGTGGACAAGGAACTATGATACTATTAAATAAACCAGACAAAGCTCTGAATACCTTGGCTCATCTAGAACGGACACAACCAAGCTCCCTTCCTGTAAGCTGAGTGAAGA